TCCTTTCCTTTCCTTTCCTTTCCTTTCCTTTCCTTTCCTTTCCTTTCCTTTCCTTTCCTTTCCTTTCCTTTCCTTTCCTTTCCTTCGCCGACATTTCGTTTTTGGTTCCTTCCACCCTTTCTTTGTTTTGCTTCTCCCTCTGGCAAGAACTTGGCCCATGTCCCGCGCCCGCCATCTGTACCTGTACCTGATGAGGCTGGCTAGACTGTTGTCGAGGTGTCGAGTTGTCCGTCGGTCCGTGCAAGGGCGGCATATAATATCGCTCGCTCACATTTTGGGAAGAGGAAGTTATTTCCCAAAAGTGAAGATCGTTTTTGGGACTTTTTGCACGCATTGCCGTCTCTTTCGTCGGCGAGGCAAGTACCTCAGTCAAGCTCGATAGCTTATAACCGAAAGATAAGGATTGGCCTCTCGTTGATCATCACGCCTCCGTCTTCCTCACTACCCCGATGACAACGGAGATGTCGTCCAACTTGCCCCCTTCGGCCGCTATGCCCTCGTCAAACGCCCTCTCCATGTACGGCGACTCGGCGTTGGGATCCATGGCGATCTCCCTGGCGGCATTCATCAGCCGTCGCGCGACGTAGATGACACCGTCTTTCTTGGCCTCCTCCAGCTCTTGCTCCTCCCTGTGGCTTGTCGGCGACTGTCCTCCTTCTCCCGACCCGTGATTATTCCAGCGGGACATGCTCTCGCAGATGTTTTCGCAGATCTCGTGTTCCCAGAGGTTGTCCGTGACGCCGTCGCTCAAGACGGCAACCACGTCGCCGACTTCGACGTTGTCGATAATGTCGCACACGGCGTTCTGGAGCGGTGTATCCGGAGAATTGGTGCCCAGTTGGCGTGGGCAGTCGAACCAGTGCCATTGTTCTTTGGAGTGATACAGGACGCGGCCACGGGCCCCGGCGCCGTCGTCGTTTTCTGTTTCGGGGGAGGAAGAGGAGGAAGAAGACGGTGGGAAATGCGAGGGGCGGATGAGCAGGATCTTGCAGTCGCCTAGGGTTGTCGCGAAGATTACCGGCGTGGGTTCTGTGTGTGGTGGTGAGGGCGGTTTGTAATAGAGCAGCGCGGACGCCGCCGTCGTCGTTCCGAGAATGTCATTTTTCGTGGAATCCTTGTTATCCTTGCTTTCTTGGAAAGTCGATGGAGATGAAGAAGAGGCATCTTCGTTGTCTGCTCGCTCGCGATCCCCCTCTTCAGGCTCCGAATAGAACTCGTCTTCACGATCCCTGTTCAACGTCCCCTTGGTGACTTTCTTGGTCGCGTCGTAGGCATCCTGCAGATTCTGGACCGGGTCGACGTCTCCCAATTTCACCGCGTCCTTCCCGTCTGGACCGGCGAGTGACTTCTCGACCTCGACGTCCCAGAAATGCGCAATCAGTCGGCTCCACAAGGCGGCGTGTCCCCTCTCTTTCTGCGCCCAGGCACCCACCCCGTCATTGACGGCGACGAAGTTTCGAGCAGCAGATATGATTATCGCGTCGTCGCCATTCGTGATCCCGCGCACCAGTTCCCCGTTCACGGTCGGACGGCGGGCGCCCCGAGACACGGAGGAAGGGTTGTGTGTTGTCAGAGGGTCTGAGAACGAGCCGGAGGGCAGCGAGACGAAAGGAGGCGGGAACGGGCGGGAGGGCCGTTTGGCGAAGACAGAGTAGCCAGTTTCGAGGTAGAATGGATAGGATGGTCTGGAAGGGGAGGAAGAGGCGGTGGTGGACGAGTCCGCGGACACGGTGGTGGTGCGGCCTTCAGATATGAGATAGCGGCGCAAGTGGGTGGCCGAGGTGCCAATGGCTCTTCTGGAGCAGGAAGACTTCTCAAGTTGCCATATTCCTGCCGCTTGCTGCTGCAGCAGCTGCAGAGATTGAGGGCGAGGTCGTCGAGGTACCCGCACCAATAGAACGAAGCAGCGGCTATTATCGAATAGTCGTGCTACAGCATGCCTGGATGGTCGGCCCACCTGCTGAGCGAGCATGGAAAGGACCAGAGCGCTCTCATAATAAGAGACGCATACGTTCTGAGGGCAATAATGAGTATGGCTCAACAAAAAAGGATTGACAAACTACGAGCGAGGTGTCAACGGGAAGGTCAAGCGTTTATCAGGGGGTAGAAAGATACGCCGTGCTATTGAGCTATACACGTCAGAACAACGGACGGTGGGGGAAGCGGGAGGCGGTGGAGGAGCCTCAGGAGCTTAGCGACCGGCAACTCTGCGGTTGAGTTCCGGGCCATTTTCTCCACACCGACATCAGGGATCGTCTTGCCGTTTCCTCCCGCTGTATAACCAGGAGTACTTTGGCCAGCGAGCAGTAAGAACATGGTGAGCATGGCCGAGAGCGGCGAGGGAAAGTAGGGGAACTACAGATCGTGGAGAAGATGATCAGTCTCTCCCGCCTCGTGGCTGGACATATATACATGTATATACTGGCTTGGCTCTTTGGCTTTTGGATATAGTACATTATAGGACATGTTGTGAGTGGTGAGTGACAGTGCCGACTTCAAATGGAGAGCTTTCCCAGTTACAGAATACAACTGAAGGTCGTGATGTCGTAGCAGCAGCAAGGTTTGTGTGTGTTGCCGACGTGAGAACCTGCGGAGTGAAGACAATCGCCCTGGAAGCGATCAGAGAGAAGGTTGGGTTGGTATCTTTAATACTGTACTCTCACACCACCGCCCTCTCCTCATCATGCCTGGAGACGAAGCGCTCTGCCCGTCCGATAAGCTCCTCATATACCGTCCAAGCCAGCGCCGAGCTCATCGCCTTCCTCCCCATTCTTAATGCAAGCCCATCGAAGAAACTCTTGATTCCGTCCTCTTGAAGCATCAGCCGCACTGCTTTCAACGTATTCCCGTACTTCTGCGGCATCAACTGCAACCTTGTTTTTACAGCGTCGAACGGATTGGTGATGCTTGTCGCCAACCCTGCTGCAATGACGCCGCTGGAAGCGTTGATCGATGCCGAAGTGGTCGTCGAAGGTCGACTTTGCCCTTGATCTGCGGTGGTGGAGTGTGATGTAAACATCTTGTTCAGGTGTGTCTTGCTTGCTTCGTAGAAGAGCACGTACAGGCCTGCATACGGCGCGTCACGGATAGCCGTGGCACCAAAGCCGGAGAAGAAACCCTTGAGCCCTTCCTGCGCAAAAATCGACCTTGTTGCAGAGGCAAGAGATTTGTAGGCATACATGTCTGATTCGTAGCGCACTTTGATCACCGTCACAGGCATGATGATGAGTCCCGCAAACACTCTTGCCGTCGCCCCCGTTATGAGATTTTGTATGTTTGAGAGCTTCGGCAGCACAGAGCTGCTCTTTCTAGGGATAGACACTCCATCTCCGGACGCCTTCGCGGCGTTGTTGGCGAGGATCTGACGCAAAGAACTGAGGGAAGTGAAATACAAGGCTGATCCGAAGCCTGTTCGCAGCGCTGAAGGAAGGGTTCCTCGCCAGAGGCTGGCCACGGGATGTGGACCGGAGAGGATCGATCGCAGGACCGTAGGGAGCGACGACGAGTGAGATTGCTGGACTCTGGTTTTCAGCAAGTCGGCCGGCTGCAAAAGCACTGCGCTCGAGACACCAGAGGTCAAGCCGGCAAAGAAGTGAAAGGTGGGATGCGCTTTTTTGGAGCTCTGGACTCTGTGCGCACTGCCATTGGACATGTTCCAGAAGATCCGAAAGTCGTGCGCCTGCACTTGCAGAGGGACTAGAGATTGGGAGATGGATGGGCTGCTGTCCCGGACTGACTGTGCATGGTGGTGGGTGCCGGGGATGGATGAAGAAGAGTAGCTCTAACACAGACCAGTGCCTTCAGGTTGGTGAGGATTGTAGCTCAACGAGATGCATGAATAAGCATCCTGCACAAGAACGTCCTTGTTTACGAATACGGGCAGGAAAGAAACAGAGAGTTGCAGGCGAGGTGAAATGCTGCTTTTGTGAAGTCATTCACCGAGCTATTACTATTACGTAGTATCTAGTAACTCTCTTGGGCAAGCGCTCGTACTCGGCACAGTTCCCACAGTTTGTATGCCTTGTACATCCATCTCACCGGTTATGCCGCCCACCAGAAAAAAGGTCACCGTCCCCTGCTCGACACAACGCGAACACAGTCCTCAAGCACACCACCTTCCGCAAACAGCAACTCTGTCACTTTTCCGGGCATAGTTTGGGTCGTGATGCTTCTGTTACCCGACTCTTTGGGCTCTGCATCAACTTGTGCAAGCGAACCGCAGATCCCCTTTCACTCTTGTGATTCGTGTCCTTTGCCTACAAAGCAGTCAGTAGGGCACACCTGGCCGAAACAGGGGGAAATGTCTGACAAATGACTATGGTTCCTCTTTCCACCTGTGGCGCAACCCTTTGGCAATCCTTCAAAAGCGTCCCGCGACAATTGTTCGCTTAATTTGCTCTGCATCCTCACTCGTCCCTCGAAACCTGTCCCACGAGCCAAGTCAAACAGCCACTGACAGACTTACTCTTGTGTCGAAGGCCTTGTCAGATGCAAGAATTTGAGGATGTCAATGGCCTGCCCATGGCTCTTTGGGTCTCCGACTTGAGACGACACAATCGCCCATGAGAAATCCGGCAAGGCTTGACATGGCAGGCTTTGAAATCGATGATTCAGAGCCTGGAGGATATCCTCGTATTGTCCTGGATTGCTTCTTGAATGCCATCGCGTCAAGCCAAGCCACACCAGAATGAATAGCCTGTGGCAATGGTTGCAGATCCCGGAACTCGGTGCAAGCAGCTGTCCAAGTTTGTCCAGCCGGGGAATCGAATATTTTAGCGCCCAAGTTTGATCATGTTGCAGGGCCCAGGCATCCATCTGGGAGAACAGTGAGGCAACTTGATTGACTTCCGCATGCCAATCATGGAGGGATTCCCGGCCAACGCTGCTTGCTTCGAGGTCGTCTAGATATGACCCAAGTCTGAGGTTCGTCATGATCATGGCCATTCTGACATATTGTTCCACTTGGAGTGAGAGATCGAGTTTGTCCCATTCGCCAACACGCGAAATGAAGGCCCTGAGACCGGCTGAATGAGGTCTATCCGTCGTCGCTGGGTCCTCGCGGACCCCTCGATACCGGTGCAGATACCCATGCAGCAGAGCGATTATACCAGACAACACGTCCTCGCCGTGTCTCGTGTGCGGATCAGCTATGAGGGTTGCAAAGCGCCGGGGAGCGGCGTGACGCCAGAAAATGGTGCCAGGACTGGCCCCAAGCCCTTGGATCATATCGATGTAAGCACTTACTTGCTCGAGGAGATTGAGGAGTTTCACAGGGTATGAGAAGGACCAGGTAAGTTCGAGGGATGCCACACATGACTTACCCCAATGAGATGATAAAACATCCGCGTCTAAGGCCAAAGCTTGTGCAAATTTGAGCAAAGAGACGGCTTGGTCATTCAATGACACCGATAGACTGTCGAAGGGGTCAAGGCTAAGAAGGAGGCTGCTAGAAAACGCTCAGGACAAAATGAGGTGTAGCATGGAGTAGTCGCGTTCATCCAGTGATGACCTGAGGGGAATTTCGGGACTACTCTCTCTTTACGAAGCTGGGAAGTTGTCAACGCTCCAAAGGTCGTCTTACTGACACCGGCCACATCGTAATCCAGGGGTTGTTTCGATTCTACGGGCATTTCATGATCTTCACGGGCAGATTGCGAGGCCGAGGCGTTGTTCAGCCGCTTGAGTCTTCGCGATCTTCTCTAAGTATGGGTGTTGATCAGCTTCTGCCGATGCTTACTTCCGGCCTGGTCGATCCAGAATAACTCGACCGGCGTAGTAGGTGGTTGTGGGGATTCAATTTTGAAAACAATATCGGGCGCCATCGTTTTAGGTTTCAGATGCTGCAGAAGGTGGCCCCCGTCATTCAAGGGCACCCCAGAATCACTGCGTCTGTCTCTGCTCCCCGGCTGTCCAGAGAGACGTATCCGTAATGACAGGCTCGCGGTTGGACACTTCACCAGGTGAAGTCTGTCGCACAAGATTTGCACACTAACGTTCGTTCTTAATAACAGGCAGGCAGTTTGCCAACTGTGATCAGAAAGTGTAGCATGAAAGGTCGTTGTAGTTGCCCAAATACAATGTTCAGATTGCGGACGGCATTCCGTCGAGGCGATTCGAAGGACTACTCACATATTTCATTGGTCAACAACGCCATATCGAGTTGCCGCCGTTCTTGCATCAAGAGCCAAGCCCCGCTGCAGCTTGTGAATCGCGACTAGAGGCTGGAACGCTGTAGTCGGACGAGGAAATCCTCATTGGTAAGCAACTGACTCGAGGCTTTGAGATGGAAAGGATAGGGCGGCAACCATGCAACGGCCTCATTTCTAGCCTTAGTGTCAAAAATGCGGGCTCTGTTTCAGCGTATGCTATCTCCGGAGATCGAGAGGCCGAGACTGCATGACAAATAGTGCAGACTCGCTCTAGACCTCTTCGTGACGATGGAATCCTGGTCAGATAGGACAGAAACTTGACTTACGGAAGACCGTCAGCAGTTTCCCCGTATCATGCGGATATGGCATTCCCGAGTGTTGAATCCAGCCTTCCACCTCTTGCAGATGGTATATGACACTTCGAAATTTCGTGTCTAGCCGCCACCAATGAGAGCGCCTGGGATTAAGAGACCGGTGATCACATGAGCGCAGAAGTCATTCCTGCAGTGGAATGCCGATGCACTTAGACAATGATGGCTTGTTCCTTCTGCGATCAGACCCTGGTGCCTGATTCATGTCCTTGGGATCCGCCAAAGCGTAAGGTTGAGGAGGTCCGAACAAGCGAGCGGGCGATCCGGTTCCCTTGTTAGAAAAAGGGTTAAAACAGATTATCGGACGTCGAAGGTCGCCGCTGATCATTTCTTGGATTTTTCGTATCCCTCGGTTTTCATATCCTTCAATCCTAGATCCTCCATTTCCTCATCTGTCCTTTCATATTCCTCAATCTTGACCTGTGGATCCTCGCCGGAATCCACATTCAACTGCACAAATGAGTTTGCCAGTGGATCCTCAAGGGTGATGGAGTATGGAAATTCAGCTTTGATACCTGCATCGAGTTTGGCGAAAAAGCTGTCCCACCTTGACCGTGTGTCGGCTGTCATCGAGTCACCCCCCGCGAGATCTTCATCCCCGACATCGAAGATCTGACTGTGAAGCTGGTCACGCACTTGGGTGAGTAGGCCCTCGACAGTAGTGAAACGGCCGCCAAGTGTGCCGGGCTGGACCTCCAACCCAAGATCATGGCTTTTTAGGACGCAGGACTCTGACTTCAAAATATCCCTGGACAGGTCTTCGATGCTCTTCACTTCCAAGGTGATCCGCTTTCCTTTCTCGGGAATCGCACCCCCAGTTTTGACATCACTCGTCCTAAAGCCACAGTGGTCACAGACTGTCGCCATAATGATAACTTCCTTGAAATGAGGAATATTAGTCTTTTTCATGTTCACTGTGCATGGCTTTCCACAGGCGGGACACTCGGCGTGCAATTCATAAACTTCGTCGTTAACAATATCCACGCCTTCCATCCCGCCGCCATTTTCTGTGGTATCCTCATCGACTACGAGACCAAGCTGCACGTTCTGCTCGCGACTGCGGAAATAATCAGTGCGGGTGTATTTGGTGCCCTTGTCGTTGGGCGACGGTTCGATAAATGAATTACCCGAGATGTCGTCTAGCGAAACAGTGATTGGAAAACTGTTGCCTTGTAGCATTTCCCCCAGCTTTTGAATGACCGTTACTAGAGAAGTATGCAGCGCAGGATCCGCATCCTTCCTGGCCGGCTGATCACTTTCCAGGTCTGTTTTGATCTTCGAGATCATGCCCTCAAGATTTGTGAATTGGCCCGGAGCAGGCGGCATTTCGAGGCCGAGATCTTCGACGCGGAAGACGCCCGTATCAGCCCGGACAACTTGTCTCTGGAGATCCGCCATGTTGTCCAATCTAAAGGTAAATTTTGTCCCCTTCTCTTGAATCTGTCCTGCGCTTTTGACAGTGTTGTTCTTCCAGCCGCAGTGATCGCACGAGAAGGACTCGAGAAGGATCTCCTTGAAATACGGAATTTTGATAGGAAGGATTCTGGTTATACCCTGGAAAAGTTAGCATATTTCTTCAAATTTCATGCTGGCAGACATACTTCATCGCGACAATTCATGCATAAACTCTCAATCTCGTAGACACCAACCTCATTGGGGTCGGCACGAACGACCGTAGGAGCCTCGGATTCAGCCATGTTTTCGGGGGAAACAAAATATGGTGTTCAGGGCTGTGCAAGCTAAGTGTTACAGTCCTGGATTCTGAGAGATATTTTCACAATCCGGCGTCGTCTGAGGGCCAGGCAGAAAAAGACGCTTCTCGAATCAGAATCTTTTCGAGCGACGCCGAAAGATCGACGTCTGCCAAGACAAATGAGGGGCACTAATGTAAGGCCCGATATTGTGCAGCCTTGCTCAGCCTTGTGCAGCCCAAAGGCCTCCAGAGCCTCGCCTATGTAGCCTCGTCACCAGGCTGGTGGCTCTGGGGAATCCCTCGAGGCATGCAATCCATCATTTCTTCATCAAGTCCATCAAGCTGAGGCTGGGCACGCCTTTGGTTTGCATGCTCCTGTTCAGAAGGGCCTGCAATCCTTCCCGGTCTTTTCGTGCTTTTGCCCTTTTTTTGCTGCTGGACTTCGTCGACTTTTCTAGGGCGCTACCTGCTGATTCTGTAATTTCCTCAGGGCGCTCATCAGAGACAGTACTATTGATCTGCTCTTTCTTTGCGCTGTGGCTGGAGTCCATGGTGGTCACGGCCCTGGTGACGCGATAGCAAACGGAGCATCGCTGAGACTGTACCTTCCGCCGGGGGTTTCGCTTCTGTAGATGGCCCTTCTTGCTGGTCTTGGTCTTAGTATCGGTAATCTTTATAGACGCTGTCCATCCCGGTAACAGCAGGCTGCCACATGTTGTGCATGTGTCCCCTGGCCTGCGGTCTCCTTGCGATGACTCTCCACGTACAAGGTCTACGCTTTCGCGCAATAGCTGTCGGGAGGTGGATGGAGCAGAGAGGCATATCATGCGTGCAGAGTCCTGCAAAAACCTCACTCGGGCTGCCCGTGGTTCATTCATTTGTGGAATCGAGACCTAGCCGTCCGGGGCATGGAAGTTTTCACTCTTTGGCCCGGATCGGAATCTCTGTTTAGCAGAGGCGCTAATCGGTACCACGTTGAGCAAAGAGGAGGTGCATCTGCAGCAGGGCAAATTTGGCACAGTGGATTTCTGCTGCAACACGGTGAGAACGAGATGGGCAAGACAGGTGCTTTGTTCAAGGGGTGGAAGGGCGACGATGTCTAAGGTACGACGGATTCTGATGCCAAGGCCCCAGGCCTGGCTCGGCCCCTTCTCACTAGCCCTTTCCCCGGCACACAACATCAGCCCCGCGCGAGTATGTAGGAGTGAGATGCGGCTCCCAAAAGACTTGCGACATGGGGGAAAAGACCCGCAGTTACATTCATTTTCCTATGATGACGGGCGGCGACAAAACATTGCTGGGAGGTTACAACGACGTGGAATCTGGAAGACCAAGCACTCTCTCTGATATCGGGCTATTAAACACAACGCGGCCAGTCGGCCATCCCTTCTAGCAGATGAGTACTCCTCAGAGATACTCGTTCGTCAATGCACGCCCCCAAACAAAGGCCGAGAAGCGTCAGACTCGCACTGCAATCCGGTCGCACATTGGACGATGGACGCAGGAGAACCAGCAGAAGATCGAGGGCAGTAGAAGTGCAGTGAGTACGAGAGGCTCACCGGAATTATCGCGGACGGACTCCCTCTCCCCGAGCGAGTCGGTGCAGTCACGGTCACAGCATCGTCCTCGGGTAAAAGTGGCAAGGCCGGGCGATACCGACAGTTCAAGCAGCGCAAGTAATTTCGATCAAGAAAGCACGAGCGACGACGTCGACGATGACACTGGACTTACCGTCACTGCTCCATCCCGGCTCCGTCCAGCGCTCTCTCCCGCTTCGGGGTCCGCATCTCATTCTTTTATTCAGGTGTTGGGATCAGGGGTGCTGGATCCGTTTCAGACCTATCCCTCAGCATTTCCTTCATCGTTGATATCGCAATGCCATGAATATTGTAAGTTGGTTGGTTTCGCTCTTGTTAATTTGGCCCATGGGGAGTATGGCAGCAGAAGCTGACCGGTGCCACGCCCGATGTTATAGCATTGCAGGTTGTTTGGCCGGGCTTGACACCCCGGTCTGTGAGCGGCTCAGAATCTGCCGCTATCAAGGGCTGGTTTCCGATGGCACTCAACGATACGGTTGCGCTGCACTCGCTCTTGTTTGGTGCGCTCAGTCACAAAAGACTTAACCTGTTAAAAGGATCAACCCAACCTGATGACCCAGCTGTGATCCGCCTGGAACAGGATATGCGGCGATGCGAGGCTGAATCCATTACTTTAATCAACAAAGCCCTCCGCGATCCAAACAACGTTATCACAGATGCAATACTAGTCTCTGTCCTTGCCATGGCGACAAATGCGTGGGACTTGACTCTCCAGCGCTTCCAGACCCAACCTGCCACTCAGCCGGTCTTTGATCCTTTGTTGAAAAGTCTTCAATGGCTGGACGTTTATGGTCTGCTCAGCGCTCATCCCATCCATGCGGCTGGCCTCGTTCAATTAGTCGCACTGAGGGGTGGCTTGAAGAACATCGAGACAACTGGCCTGGCTGCTATCATATCCTAGTAAGCTGATCTTTTTATCATTGGTTGTCGCCCTCCGTCGCTAACCGTCTGATTCTCAATATTAGCTCCGGCGTCATTCAGGCGAGTAGGACATTGACTCAACCAGTCTTTCCCTTTATACCTCTGGCTGATGACGGCGATCGAACTGCGACGCTCTGGGGAATGCTGGGTACATGCCCAAGTGAACTTAGGGACGAGTTTACCTATAGTAGTCTGTTTGATTTGGGTCTCACCGTGGAGCTTGCAGTCGTGTGGGTTGCGATGCAGCGATACGAACACGGCGTGGAAATATTCGTCGACGGTGCGCTTCCAGACCTGGATCTCGCTCGTTTGTGCGACCGACGCAACCTGATTCAACACACTCTTTTATCGCTTCCGTCGCACACAGATTTAGCACCAGCTGCTCGATCACGGCCCATCTACGAACCGACGCGACTTGCCATGCTGATATACTCCCTTACCGTGATCTTCCCTCTCCCACCCCAGACGGCTCCAATAGCTCTCTTAACTCGGCAACTAAAAGCTGCGCTCCGAGAGTCCGACATGCGCTCCAGCTGGTCGTCATCGCATCAGGCCCAGCGCCTTCTGATGTGGATTCTTGTCATAGGTGGCGTTGCTGCCCGAGACGTAGCCGAAGAACGACTTTGGTTCGTTGCTGCCCTTGGGAGAATGTCGGCGCGGATCGGGATTAAGAAGTTTGACGACCTGAAGAGAAATGTTTTAAAGCGCATCCTCTGGCTGGATCGGGCGTGCGACGCGGCAGGGAGATCGCTGTGGGTGGAAATTTTGGAACTTGGTGGTTGATGGGACAAGATTGCTGATCAGAGGGCTGTCATCTAAACCATCCCCAGAGACTTGCAATAAACTTTTCGATACGAGCATGAACGAAGTTGAATACGCTGCTATTATGTGCATGAAAATATCTACACCCCAAAGAGGACGGTCTAGGGGCAAAGGGTCAATTACTCTTTCGAGACTACGTGCAGATATATACTCAGTATCACTGGCAGACTAAAATGCCGCGGTCACTGCGCGGGAGATGGTGCCCCGGTTCTTTGTTCTTTCATTGGAACCAGCACCTGGATGTTTTCGGCCGTATAGGTCCTTTTGTACCTGCGGGAGCCACACTGCACGCTAACAGGCACCTGATGGTACCAAGCTCGCTAGGTGACCGGTCACGCGTGGCAGCCGGTGCCAGCCTTATATGGTTGTAACCCGATTTGGTGCGCACCCCTCGCATAATAAGGGCTCCTTCCAGATTCAGTTTGGCGATCGAATCGAGATGAATGGACGATGGAGCGCCCCCGGAGATGCGGCGCGGTATCCCTACTCCGTATTTTGACGCAGAAATACATGCATCAAACTCGCCTTTTATCAGAGAACAAGTCCGATGGCAATCCTTCTCGCCGGTGGGCAACTCTGCAGGGTGCTTACTTATGGAAGCCAGGTCCACCCAGCCTTGCTGACAGTTTCGTTACCCCGGATCTCGGCTCATCTGTCTGCAGACTTTGTACGCCCTAAAAGAACGGTCTTGTTCTTTCCCTGTCGGGTATGTATTGATACACACTCACACATGGCTCCGCTCGGGTACAGGGTCATGGTGGTGTTGTCTTCTTACTACACAGCAGATGGCGTACTATTGGTAGAGCACGTCATATCGGCATGAACCACGATGCCCATCAACCCACGCAGCACTGTGCGAGGAGGCCGGTCGCGAGGGTGGCGAATATATAAGCCTCGACTCAACTCGCTACCTGCAAAGTCATCACCCGTGGCTGATCGAGAAACTTGTGTCGATGCTAGCTCCGGGACTTGCTGTAATTGAGACAAGAGTATCATGCTTTCTTTACACGAACGATTGGCGCGAACTGTGCCGCAAGACAAGCCCGACGTGGTCCTTGCGAAGAGCGTGAGCGACTCAGAGCTCTGCATTGACTGCCGCTATGACTCGTACAGCGTGGCTGACGTTGGTGGCATGCCTTGGGGCGATGAGGAGTATACCCTGTGGATTCTTCCTGCAGTACAGAGCCAAGAGCAGGCATTTGGTATGCAGACGGTGTGCAGTCCCTCTTGCTCCCGTAGGAGTCTTGTTATGCTGATTCCTTGCTCTAGTATCCACAGACATGGCGTGAGCCTCATTGGAGTATAACTCCTCTTTCCACCATTCTCCCAACGAACGCTCCTCTTCAAGAGCCAGCTCCCCTATCTGTCGATGGACGGCGGTCTCGTTTGGTGGTCCCTTGTGCTTACGGTAGTGACGAAGCGACTGAGGAAGTGCGGGCTCGGACGAGGTCGGTAAGTGCAGACAGGTCAAACATGCAACAGGGATAGCCTAAATTGACTGTGGCCAACTGTTGCCCCAGGAGCGCCGCCGGGCTCAAAATCGTGTGTCGCAGCGGGCATTCCGTGCGCGCAAAGAAAAGCACATCAAGGAGCTTGAAAGACGGCTCCAGACATTAACAGCCGAGCACGAAGCATTGCTCAAAAACTTTACCCGCAGACAGGGTGAAATTAATCGATTAAACACGGTGATTGCGGACCTTCGTGTGAAGATAGATATCCTCTCGGGTATTCAGATAGATTCTGAAGATAGAGCCCAGTTCAATCTAGGATAGGAGTGATCCCTGACACATATAGGAAGCGACTGAAAAGCGGATCATCTCCTGGCACCGAGACGGTAAGCATGAATTTACAATCGAGAGGTTCATCACAAAGCCCTCCGATGCAGGGTAACGAGGTTGCCGTTTTGTGAAGGCGTTAACTCCATTTCGTATGAATCCTCTGCCCTTTTCAGAAGGAGGTTGGCGTACATGCAGATGCAAATGCGAATGAAAGTAGGGCTCCACGCCCATCTCTGGGTCCCTATTTTCGCCAGCCAAGCCGGCTGGAAATTGAACTCTTTCAGAAGTCCGCCACCAACACTTCAGCTTGATATTCATTTGACAGACCGAACCGAGCCAATGGACATACTTAGCATAACATTTGCCGGCAGTAGGAGTTGCTTGGGATTTCCTCAAATGGGTGAAACGTTGCGAGGCCTTGCCCCGGAGTTAGGAGATATCGCCGCCCTTGTATTGCCAAATATCGACTTTGTGCCTCCTCAGCATGACGGTTTGCTTGTACCTGGGACAGAAGAAGGGGGTACAAATACCTGCTATGAGCAGACCGGACGGGGGATCAAATGAACAGTTTCGGGCTCATTCTTCAAAGTCGCCTGTTGCTCGATCAACCAAGATGACAGCGACAACCCACCCAGAATACGACAAGGATACCGAAGCCTTGGATGTTGCGAGAGCATTTCCTGAAGCTATCCGAGGCAAGACGATCATCATCACTGGAGTGAACCGCAAAGGCATTGGCTTTACCACCGCGCAGGCTTTTGCTTCCCAGTCTCCTGCTCACCTCATCATCGCAGGACGGAATGCATCCAAACTTCAAGAATGTATGGATGATCTCAAGCAGCAGTGGCCCGAAGTTGACTATCGCCTGCTGATAATCGACCTCTCGAGCCAGAAAGGCGTTCGGACGGCAGCCCAGGAAGTCCTCTCGTGGAGCGATGTGCCATCGATCAACATTGTGGTGAATAATGCCGGGGTGGGGAGTATACCTGAGCGCACAATCACCGAAGACGGGATCGAGCTTACTTTCGCAACAAACCATATGGGGCACTTCTTGTTCACTAGCCTGATCATGCCAAAACTTCTCGAGGCAGCAAAGACCAGCACAAAGGGAGGAACTCGCGTGGTCAATGTCAGCTCGGGTGCAGCTGAATACAATGGTGTCCGATGGTCGGATATCAATTTCGACAAGAAGTCCACAGATCTTCCTGAGGATGAACGCCCAAACTATGCAATCCTCAAGTTATGGGGCATAAGCAATGGGCCAGATATGTCGTACATACCATTGGAAGCATACATTCAGAGCAAAGCTGCAAATGTCCTTTTTGGCATTGGCCTTACAGCAAGGTTGTATGAAACCCACGGCATATTGAGTGTCGGCGTCCATCCCGGAGTAATCAAGACGGAGTTGACGAGGCACTCAAGCAAAGAGCAGAGAGATGCAATCGCGGCAATGGCTCAGAAGGGGCTGTTCAAGTACAAAACCTTGGGCGCCGGGGCTGCAACGAGCCTGGTGGCTGCCACAGACCCCAAACTGAGCGCCATTGAGAGCAAAGACGGGGAAGAGGGATGGGGAGCATACCTGAAGGACTGTCAAATCTCGCACGACGCGTGTCCTCGCGCAAAATCGAGCGAGGAGGCTGAAAAGCTGTGGAAGCTGTCAGAAGACCTTGTGGGAGAGAGGTTTTCATGGTGATGTGATGGCGACGTGGTTGATGAGAAGACGATCCTAGTACGACTCAAATAGCTGGATCTTCTATAGAACAATTGGTACTTTGCAGGCATTGGATGATATGCCGTTTCCATGTAACAAATTCAAAGGAAGGTCAAAAAAAAGGGACGTGAACATTGTAAGAGGGTGGCATGGCTTTACTAAAGCGGCAGAATCTGCCACGCCTAATGCGGAAGTCTGAAGGATTCTCGGAACATTTCAATCCTGCCTTTTTTCCTTCGTCTCTGGCCTTTTGTGCTCTCATCCTGCGGTGAAAGTAAATGCACAAGGTGCTTCTCTTCACGCCTCAGTCTTATCGAAGGCCATCAGCTTTGCAGTCACGGGTCCGCTGTTTGAGTAGATTTGCAAACCCCGCACTTGTCACGACCTCTCTTCACAGGTTTCACTCTGGCTCTGAGGATCGAACATTGAAGTACTTCTCAAAAGATGCGGTAGCCACAAGCCACGCTGTTCCATCGTTCAAAGACTTGAGAGCGAAAGGGCAAATGTCGGGAGTCGAAGAGCAGAAGAAAGAAGGAGTCAGAATCGCCGTTGAGGGTTGCGTGAGTCCTCGTTGGAGTTGAAGGTGCCGATCTCTTTTTCTAATGTTCTTGCTTAGGGTCATGGCACACTCCATGCAATCTATGCTTCGGTAGAAGAAGCTTGTCGCGTCAAAGGCTGGGATGGCGTTGACTTGTTGATAATCGGCGGTGATTTTCAGGTCAGTATCACCGTGTGCAAATCCCCAGAAGACTAAAGGTTGTTAGGCAGTAAGAAACCGATATGATCTTAATGTCACTGCTATGCCTGCAAAGTACAGACGCATGGCAGATTTCCATGAATACTACAGTGGTGCCCGAACTGCTCCTTACCTGACCATCTTCATTGGCGGCAACCACGAAGCGAGCAATCATCTCTTTGAACTTTACTATGGTGGATGGGTCGCACCGAACATCTACTACCTTGGAGCTGCCAACGTTATTCGACTAGGACCTATCAGAATCGCTGGGCTGACGGGGATCTGGAAAGGATACGATTACCGTAAGCCTCATTTCGAGCGTCTTCCGTACAACCAAGAGGACATCCATAGCATCTTCCACGTTCGAGAGTTGGATGTCAGAAAACTATTGTCTCTCCGGTCGCAAGTTGACATTGGTCTCTCGCATGACTGGCCACAAGGTGTCGAATACCATGGAGACTATCAATGGCTGTTCCGCAAAAGAAAAGACTTTGAAGCCGATTCATCTATTGGAAAGCTGGGGAGCGTGGCTGCAAGACAGTGCTTGGATCGACTGCGTCCGCCGTATTGGTTCTCTGCACATCTCCACACCAAATTTGCTGCTGTCTTCCAACATGACAAGGGCGACACATCCCCACAGGCGATCTCTAAATCCCATCCGACCTCCGGCCGAGTCCTCGAAGAGTCAGATTCGGCGAAGATGCCATCAACGGCCCCGAGTGTGTTCACCGAACATGGTAATGTGACCCCACGACCGGAAGACCGGCAGCAAGTGTCGGCGCTGCAACAACTTCATGCCCCGGCTCGACAAGGAGACGCCGAAGAAAGGGATAGAGTTCTCAGAGAGCGGGAGACCGAACGGCTTCAAGAGGAAAAGACCGATGCCTCCTCGCCTCCACAGTTCTCGGTTGATGAGATGTTCAAGAAAATCGGCAGAGGAGACGGCCTCGAGCGTATAGTAGTATCGACGACTCGAAGCCAGCCTCACTCAGAGGACCATGATTCTATTCAAAATCTCGACGGCTGCTTCTGCTCAAGACCAGCTAAGAGGCAGCGCCTAGAAACTGGACACCCAGGCTCTATTCACGATGAAAATGACAATGATGTTCGACCAGACGCATCTGGAAACCAGATGGACGGTGCCAGCGCTAGCTTTCTTGGACAATCGAAACCTGCAGTCGCCAATCCAGATTCTATCGATATTGACATGAGCGACGATAGCGACACCACGGAAGTAGCTAGTCAAGATGTTGCCACGCCTCGAAGCAAACCTCTGTCAATCCCCGCCGTAACGGCCAAAGTTACCGACAATGATCATTTGAAGAAGTCGAACAGCTCCCAGAGTCCATCAGAAGAGAGCGAGGACGGTGGTGTCAAGCTCAATGCACAGGCTGCATCCTTCACACCGTTGCCTGGTATCTCTTCCCTGCAGGACGAAGCAAGTCACTCTCAAGATTCGCCCACGCCCTCTGGGATTTCGTCCGAGTCGGAATTAAACCAACGCGCTCGACTATTCAAACCGGAGTCATCTCCCAACGGCGGTGTTGAAGCCAGCTCGGCACAATCGATTATTCAAGTGGAACCAGAGAAGGGGTCTCAGCTCGTAGATGGTACCGACGTTGTGCCCGAGGAGATCAGGGCCCAGCTAGCTGCCTTATCAAGCAAATTCCGTCCAAAAGAACCCTCTGAAGTATCTCCATCACTCCCATTCCCAGAAGAAATCGCCAATAAAACGACGTACTTCCTCGCCCTTGGAAAATGCGATGCTTACCAAGAATTCCTCCAACTTCTCGAAATCCAGTCTATGACTTCCCCTGAGGCAGAGATCCGCCGCCCGCTCAAACTCTACTACGACCCCGAATGGCTCGCAATCCAACGAGTCTTTGCGCCCGAGCTTCAACTTGGTGGCATTGCCAAAGATAGAGTTCCGGCGCACCGCGGCGAGACCTACTATCGGGACCAAATTGTGAAGGAGCAGGAATGGATTATCGAGCATGTGGTCAAGCCAGGCAAGCTGCAAATCCCCGAGAACTTCAGCATGACGGCGCCAGTATATGATCCGAGTCTGCAAGTTGCACCGGATGAGATGCCGCGCGAGGTGACGAATCCTCAGTCGAGCAGGTACTGCGAGTTGATCGGGATCGAAAACAAATTCGACGCCAGTGAGGAAGAGAGAGATTCTAGGATGCAGCAGGGCCCGAGGCCGGAGCGCGCAGAGTTCCATGCACATCGAGATCGACCGCGTCAGCAAGGACTGGGCGGTGGGAGGGGTCGTGGAAATCATCGCGGGGGCGGTGGTGGTGGTGGGAGAGGAGGAGCGCGAGGAAGTGACAGAGCAAGAGGGCGCGGACGGCGGTATTAGAGAGCAGTGAGGGACTGTCTGGATATTGCCATTAAAATGCCGGTTTTCACCGAACTGCCATCTTCAGTCTTTGCCGAAACAGCAGCGCGAGCGGAGTCAGGCATTACTTTGCACCACATTGCATTGCAGAGCTGTGCATTAGCCGGTGCCGCGTACGGGGTTCATGTACAACAACGGAATAAAAAGATCACAAACAAATACCTACCTCAAAATGTTATTGATTGATACCGAAAGAACAGAACGGAATGGCAGGAAAAGAACGGGAAAGAATAGGAAAGGAAGGAGAAGACGAAAACAGGCTCATCCATCTTATTTTATTCTTCTACTCTTCCAGCGTCGAGCGGCCCAGAGAGCGGCCAGAGACTGTTATTCGCGTCCACATTGTTGATCACGAAGAAGACCATATATCATTCATCTGTTTATTCTCCCAGACCAACGCTAGGCTTTCCAACTTTGGCGCCGGGCTTGGGCTTGGAAGTGGGCGTCTTATCCAGCTTGTCTAGCTTGAGCAGGAAGTGCTTCTTCCACGTCTCATACGCGCGTGTCCGCTCTCCGCTCAACAGGTCCATGAAGTCTTGCATCATAGTCGCCAGGCCCGGGAGCAGGACGTCCTCGGGATCATCGTCCTCGTGTTCCGGTTCCATCTCTCTTTCCCCGGTTCTCCCTCGAGCGTGATATGCTTCGGTCCGTCGTCTCCTCCTCCGTCCCGACAGGATCGGGTCCTCATCTTCGTCTTCATCCTCCTCAAATCCCCCTCCAACGCTTACTTCTTCGTCGCCGGTCCCCCCCGCTCCTTCGGCGTTGGGATCAAAATCAAAAACTTTCTCCGGGACACTCCCCCACCAGTCCTGGCCCCGACAGTACCCTTCGCGATTTATCCTCCTGATCCACTCTTCGACGCCTTTCGCCCCTGGTTGGTACTCCAAAACTTCTACAGCCCTGGCGCACGTAGATTTGTACACTAACGTTGTCATCTTTGCTGTTTGCATACGCGTCAACGTCATGATATAGAGTGCTGTCAAGAGACCGGCCACGGTTTCTCGGAAGGAGTCGTCGTCTGGTGCTGGGCCGTCTTCGTCTGGGGGCCACAGACCACTAAGTTTCAGGATGATACAGGTGCCGGTGTAGACGTGCGGAGCGAGCAGTGGTGTTGAGAATGTTTTGCAGAGTTTACGGATCGAGGGCATTGTGTAGCTCGGCGCTTCGCCGTCATTCTCAGCCTCGCTTTTCTTTTTCGTGCTTGTTTTGATCTTCCCGAGAAATTCGTTCCGCGCTGTAGGTTTCGACGGCGTGACTGACTCACCCTCGACGCCTGTTCTCTTCAACGTCCCGTCTGCCGTCCTCTTCTTCCCTCCCGGGGTCGACTTGGGCGTTGTTGCGATGCCATCCTCATCCAACACCCTCTCCAAAAACGCAACCAACTTCTTGTACACGGCTGGCTTACAAGGTGCTCCGCCAGCCTTGACCGCCGGCAACCGACATTTCACCCTAAGCCTATTGCAAGCAATCTCGCAGCAGGCATAGGCACGGGCGATCTCTTCCTCGGGTTTCAAATGCGAGGCTCGTTGGCGGGATTGTGCGAGGAGCGATTCGCAGAGGTGGACGAGCGGAGCGGGAAGTTTGGCGCTGTGGGTAGGTAAGAGGCTGCCGAGGGATTGTTGGATAGCGGAGGAAGAAGGCATCGTTCGTTGAGGGGAGCAGTGGGAGTGAGAAGGAAAAGCAGCATTAGATAGGGGGGAAATGGTGTTTGTATCGGGTTTTCGCATTCACAGACGCTGGCGGAGAAGACGTCATCGTACCAGGCGCGTCGAGCGCGTCACGTCGTGTCCAGAGCAAAAGTGGCTGTTTCAACGAGCGGAACAATACTGCAGACGTCGCTACGGTGGCGTATTACTTGCTATCTCCAATACAAACACATCCATTTTTAGGACAATGACTGCAACCTCCGCAAGGACGGGTCTCGAATTGCATTGGACATTGAGATTATTGGCAAAGAGCAAGTTTGCACTCTAATTGTTGGTCCAGCTGCTTCTCATCGCGTTTTCAGGCTCTGCCCGTGCAACATGGGAAACGACCAAATCCTGCCAACTCTACCCTTCTTCCCCTAACGGTCTGAATACTGCTCCGAACACATCCCCCGTTACTACCGGAAGGCCTCGAGTTGCAACCTGCGCAGGGACGTTGTCGGAACCCGGGTAAACCAGATCTTTCCAAAAAGGATGTTGACATGCGGTATCCCTGCATTACACCAAGAATCGCTGGAATCAGCTAGAGTCTGTCTCAGTAACAGCAGGGTCGCTCAGTTGAGGCTGAATGACGAGCTGGCTGCAAAACAGGGAATTAAGAGCCCAAAACATACCGATAAAGATCGACCTTAACGCCCTCATCGGGTCCCAGTGAGGCCCAGCCACCGTGGGACGTGATTATGGCGCATTGGTTGTAGGATGATGGGTCAACCAGTGTCCAGAAACAAGTCCCACCCCAGTGCGGATATTGGCAGATGTAGATCTGGTGCCCGACAATTAGTGACAGGGTGACGCCAAGGGGCAGGGAGAAACTTACGCCGTTGGTTGCTCGATCACTGAGTTTGCGTGGTGAACTGTCGGCGTTGGTGACGTTGAACTGGATGCCGTTTTTGAGCGCGGGGTTGTCGGTGTCAGAGAGCGCTGCAACAATGAAACTCGCAGAGCTGCCCAGCAAGCCGAGCAAGAAGGCAGAAACCCAGAAACGACGCGAACCCATGGTCATTGCGTTGGGACAACTTCCGAGAGGTCTTCGAACATAATATTAACTATGGCGCGAGATGGACTTTCTCTAAGAGCTCTTTTACTTCTTGGACTCCGCAACAGTCAAAGAGAAAAGGACACGGTGCCAGCTTGTGCGACACAGACAATGAAAGGAAAGGGGAAGAAATGAAACCCCTTTGACTTCACCGGAAACGATGATCAGAACAAAGAAGACTTGGGGAGGCGAGTCACTCTGACAAACACAAAGGGAAAAGGAGAAGCAATCACAGCACATGTTGAACGACGTGTCGAATGATGCTGGGTGTGTATGTTTGGTTGTATGCCCTTGGCCGCCATGCTGCCATTGTCCATCGGATGGTGACAAATCTGAGCAAGGCGTGGAAATTCCCTCCTCTACCTCTACCGAGATAGACGTCGTGTCCAGGCACCCGCACAGAAAGGATCCATCGTGGCGATTGTAACCTGGCATTCTTCGACTCCGACTTTTGTTTCCTGGTCTCTCTGACAGGCCTGTCGTTCGAGTTCCTTTGCTCAACTTGAATCCAGCCTTGTCCTACCCGACGTTCTGCAGCCTCGCTAGAAAGCCCGTGACAAAAGCTTCGCACATGATATTCCAGTGGCAGTCGAAAAGCAAAGAAAAGAGAAAGGGAGTTGCAGGAGTTTAGCAAATCACGATGTTTGGACATCCAGCAACACAGCATTTAGTCGCCTGCACGGCAGCGTAGCATGGCGCAATGCAGCAAAAGAGTGATAAGGAAAGCACCTTACTGGATTGATTGACCTCATCTGGGCCCTTCTACGGCATGTAGACGCTCATCTCCAGCCCGTTCGTGTAGGGCAGTGTCAGATTCCTAAACCCACTGCCCGGTTCTCGCATATACTCCAGCAGATCTTTGTACTTGGACGCCGAACCGATCGTGTTGTCCGCAACGACCACGGCTCCGCGCCGCATTCGAGGCTGACACAGTTTGAGCACTGGGAGAGCCATGGGAGTCCAGACTGTGCACCAGTGTGGAAGCGTCAGTATATAGCAACAATAGCAACACTTTCGACCTAAGGACATCAAGAGGGGGAACTCACTGTCCAGCAAAAGCAGATCAATCTCCGGCAATCCTTCCTTCAGCGTCTCTCGAATATCTCCCTCGCGAAGCTCAATACAACCGGTAAACTCATCGCCGACCTCCTTCCAGTGCTGCCTTGCTCTATCGGCCTTTGACTTCTCGTACTCCGTCGCAATAACCACCCCTCCCTCACCTTCTCCGCCGCCTGCCGCCCTCTTGATGTTCTCACACACCGCCAGGGCGAGGTAGATGGTACTAACACCAAAACTTGTCCCGGCCTCGACGACCCGCGTGGCGCCGATGGCGAGGCACAGCTGGTAGAGAAACTCGGCCTTGTCGCGGTCTAGCGCGATGAACTTGTCGCGCATGTAGTTGTCGAAGCCGACCGCCTCGACCTCCGAAGCCTGCACCGCGTCCTCCTGCTCCCGGGACAAACGGTGCAATTTGTCCAAAAGGGAGAGGACGTGCGGCGGGGCCAGCACCGGCGACTGCGACGGCGATGGCGAATCCTGTGCCGAAGAAGCCATGGGTGTTGCTTTGCTTTACACGAAAAGTAAAAACTGACCGGAAAGGGTACCCAGGTAGGTTCGAGGAGAATGAGCGAGGAGAATGAGCGAATAGTGCAGAATTTCAATATTCAATCATGTTCTTTCGAAATGCTAGATTTAGTCTGAATGTTGAAATTCGGAGTCATGTTAACGGCTTTTTCGTACCTCAGCCCATCCAGTTTCGGAGATCTACTAGGCTCCCCAGACGGCGGGGATGGACTAGACACGGGCCATTATGCAATTATTTTTAGGTAACAAGAGAGGCACAGACTCGCCTACATATGCCTAGGTGCATAATTTCTTTAGCTGGAACTCTGTCTCGACGTGATGCACGGCTTTACTCCGGTACAATGGAAGATGGAGTCAAATTATATGTTTGAAGGGGAGGGAGGGGGAGAGTGGGACTGCACAGCCTTGTACGGAGGAGGGAGCACTCTGTATATATCGATTACGGCACAGTTCAGCCTTGCCATACAGGAGAGCAACACTCCATCCATACAGGTAACCTCCTCCGACTCCTATTCTTCCTTTCTTCTTTCAGTCTTTGCATGTTCGAGGCATAGTCCTTCCAGAGAATCACGTCATTTTGCCAGGTCCGTTAGTCTTTCCGACTGTGCTCCCTCCAGAGCTGATTCCGATTCGGCCAGCCATCTAAAGGGGCCTCAAGCATTGTCTGCGTTATTATCTCAGATCGGTTGCCGTCCTGGGCCATTAAACCATCGCGCCACGGCTCCTCAATGTAAAACTACAGCTTAAAATTGCTTGGGTAATTCGCGCTCGCGAAACAGTTAGTCCATTCTTCTAACGATACACCTTGAGGCGAACTCAGGTGAGATTTTGATGTAGAGTGATCGACTGTGAGATGCCTGTCTCGAGACGGCTGCACGGCCAGACGCATCCTTCGATTTTGGAACAGGCCGGAGTTCGATGCTCGAATGGTCATGGCCCGGGTATGTCTTGCGGAAAGGGCAAGTGATCCTCGACAATTCGTCTCTGCCAGGTTTATTGTAGTCATCGAGCCGTTCTCTCAGACTGTCGATCCAGATCTTGGACTTGGAATCCCCCAAAACAGTTGACACTTCAACCATGAGCCTTCAGGAACTCACAACCTCGCGCATATGCAACACTCTCGCGGTCGGAAGCTGCAAGGATCTCATTGGTACCCTTCATGCCACCCAATGCAGCATTCCTGCAAAGCAGCAGTCAAAGATGGTGAGTGTCTCACGGCGCACCATGAGGCGACGGTTGTAGTGTAGACCTGCCAACCACTTTCTTGTAGGCCGAGTCCTCACGGCTAAAGAGGGGATTTGGCACTCGTTGCTTTGGCAGTAGAGGATGCAAACCAACGCTATCCAACTGATGGGCCAACAGCGGCTCCCTTTTTAATTCTCGACCGATCGAGGCCGTGTCCAAGACAGACGACGATGACCAGCTCGTATTTTTTTTTTTTCAATGCTTGTCGATGAGTTCGCAAATCTTCTTTTGGAACATGAGAGTCGTTTTGTGAAATTTTGAAGATGTCGCAAACTTGAAAGTTGAAATACTTGTGAAAACATTCATGGAGTCTTTTGGGATCGTCTTTGAGTTGAAAGTGGGATTTTACTCAAACATGATCGGCAGCAACGAGACCTCAGAGTTGCGCCCATTGCGTTTTAGGCCATGAATGAGCCACTTGGTGCTGTTCAAGCTCTTGACGAGTTCTTCAACTTTCTGAGATATCACAAGGCTCGGTTCTTCCGATTTGTGAGGTCTTCAGCGTTCACAGACTTTCACACAAATGTTTCGCACGATGTCTAGGGCTTTGCTTCTAAGCAGCTTCCAAGCTTGCGAATTGTTTGCGACAGATGGAGAGACTAAAATATTGGACGTAACTCGACCGTCGGATTGCGATCGAGACTGTCCACATATAGATCGTGCATTCAGGCCTTCCTGAACCCAGGATTCAATGGCAGAGAGCTGTTTTAGGTCGGTTTTAGGCTTCTGCATGAGAGCGTCTATCATCACGGCGATATAATCCTCTTTTGATCTTGGTATCTGTCGGTCGAAGACGTTGATGCTTCTTTTACCTGCAACCTTTCGCGGAAATCGTTAAAATCACGGAGCCTTGAATGGATGCACATTTGCAAAATTGATGAATCCAAAACTCTCTCTGTTGTCAGCCCACTTGTGACCGTGTGCTATTAGCAAAGTGGGTGGTAGGATGTAGAGAACAAAAGTTGTCTGAACCCCGCTGTTCCTCAGTAATCGGTACACCTTGTTAGATTAATGGACGAGGTACGCGTTGGGCCGTCTTTGGACTGGAGACAGGCTATTGATTGAGGCGTTT